AAAAGCAATATCTATTACCAATCGACAGTGGCAGCAGCCGCAGGCATGGCTTCATCTTCCCGTTCTTCTTCGTATTCGATTTCAATACGAGTTCCCGATTTCTTTCTAGCAGCCGGTTTGCTAGGTTTCTTCTTTTTGGATTTGGGATCATTTCCACGGGATTTCTTTGACGGTCTGTCATCTTCTGAATCTGCACTCTCGTCAGAATCACTACTGCTATCGTCCTCATTACTGCCATCACATCGTCGTCTTCTTCTTCACTTCCCCACTTTCCATTCCCATGTACTGGACATCTTCAATATCTTCTTGCTCTTCTTCTTCGTCCGATTCCAAATCTTCCACATACTCGACCATTCCTTCCTCTTCCTCATCTGTTTCTTCATCCGTCTCTTCCTCTTCTTCCTTTTCTTGTTGTTGCTGTAATGCCTTTTGGTACGGCGCTTCTGGAAAGTTGTAGATATCTCCATAGGTTCCCTTGGCCAATCTATCCACCAACTCCTTTTGAATGTTGCGTTCCAACTTGGCAGCCACCAATGCCTTGCGTTCTCTGCGTTCTTCGCGTTGTTCAATCTTGCGATGAATGCCTACCATTTTGGCTTTGCGTCCGGCAATTTCCTTGAGTTTGATTTTGCGCATGCGAATCAAATATTGATGAATTTTGGTCAATCGCTGTTTGTTGCGATGAATGAGGACCTTGGGAAAGTACGCCAAATGTTCGTCCAACTGTGCCGTGGCTTTGGAATAATTGCGCGACAAGAGAATCTTTTCCCACAGATTCTTGGGAGAATGCGCTCGTTCCACCGTTTTAATGTAGAGATGGACGCGTCCTTTTTCTTCTCGAATCGTCGCGTACTTGGAATTCGCAAGCGGACACGAAGTTCGATTGCACAACCCCGTTACCGAGTACGGATGTTGACAGAAATGCGTCTTGTCGCTCTTGGCCTTGCCAATCGTTGTCTTGAACGAACAAAACTGGTGATTGATCACCTGCCAAATCATCTCGTCGTGCTGCATCGTGGCTGGATCTTGTAATTGAATAAATAAAGTTGAGTTCAATAGAATAGATGATGAGTACTGGCTACTGTGATAGCTAATAAAAGGAAGCAGCTATCCAGACCATTGCCAAGAAGATGAAAGTTGGAAGAAAATGTGAGACAACCGTTTCGGTGGTGCTGAGAGGTTGATGGGAAAGGAATGTGGAATCTTTGAAATTGGGGGTAATCACACAAGACTCACCCCTCTTGAACAACCCCCTTTTAAATAACCCCCAAATCAAAACCTCAGCAGCGACGACAGGCGACAATGGCCTACACATCGTTCTCATCGCAACCGTCGTCGATTAGTTAGTCTCTCCAGCAGTTCATCAGGAAGGAAAGAAGGAACCATGCCGTTCAATCCATTCGCCGACTTTATTTCCAGTGGCATGCCCTCGCAAGAGGAGCTCGATGCCAAGGCCAGGAGCCGTATCGGAGAGTAAGTGGATCCAATACAGTACACTGACTTCACTCCCCATCCTATTGGTCTCTCTGCGCTCTCGGTTTCTCATTACTCCACCTCTTTACTTTAATTCCATTACGACAGAAAATCCGTCAATGCCCAAAAGCTACAAGATGAAAACTTTGGACCCGACATTCGGGCCATGGACCCTTACATGAGACCGGAAAGCCGATCCTTCAACAAGTTCCAATGGAAGATGTCCGCTCTCAAAAATTCCGAACATGGAATTGTTTGTTCCTGGAAGGCTGCTGCGGCGTATGCCAATACCGAACAGGCCACGAGGGATGCCATTCTAGCCAAAATTCAAGCCGAAAAGGAAGGTAGTACCAGTGATTAAACTACCACGATCCTGCATCATTTTAAAATTCATCTTGTGGCCTTTCCAAATGCATTTGACTTTTTATTCATTGCCTAACGAAAGTAATAGCTAGTAAACTGTTTACTAATTCTTGTAGTGATACTGCTAGTTTCTTGGCAAGCACCCAACTACATTTTGGTGCCGTGTGAGCCTTGGTTAGTTTTGGGTACCATACATGGATGCACCGTGGAATATATTGGTGGGGCTGGTGATGGTAAAGGCAGTGTTGGTGCCTGGCCCCTCACCATTGGGCCTTTGGAATTGATCATCCCTGTGGCTGAACAAAAGGCTACAAGCTGATCGGGGATTGAAAACTTGCTTGATCTTACAATGGTTTTTGTACTGTACAGGTTGTGTCTGTCATACTATGCACGCATTTGTTTATTTTGGAACAATCATAGTCACTTTTGCAGCTGGAGGTGGCTCAAGCTTACTGTACCGGTAATCTGCTACTAGCTAGTGCGGATGGATGTCGTGTTCATTTCCCGTCCAAATTACTAATATGGTTTTGGCTTAGAACAGTTTCCTGCGGTACGGGTACGCACCGGTACATACCCGTACCTCGCTCCTCGACGTGTTCTTGTCCGTGGGAGATACACACGCTACTACCGTACTAGTAGTAGCTCCCTTTCCAAGCGCTTGCTTGCTAGCTACTAGATCAATTACCTCGGCAGTCTATCTGCCTGAGCCCTCACCCCCTTTTTTGGTATTTCCTGTTTCCTGCTTCCTGTTTCCTGCTTCCTGTTTCCTGTTCCGGTGAAGCCAAAATATAGGGATAGAGATAGGCACAAGCCAACTCTACAAATTTAGGAGTAGGAATAAATCACGATTATTCAAGGTTGGTGCACTCAACACAATAAGCCAGCAGAAGCTACAAAAGTTACAGGTACGTACGGGAGTGACAGCTGTAAAATTATGGTTAGCGGGCGGCAACACACGACGAAGTCGGGTGTTGTCGCCAGGGCTAGCCTAAATAAAAAAGAAGGTTATAATGAAGGAATGATACCGGGCGGCAACACACGACGAAGTCGGGTGGGCTACCTTGAAAGAAGGGCGCAATCTCAAACATGTCATCATTCTTCTATCTGTCTTTCTGCCGAGGTATCGCAGCTCCCGCTGACTTATTCATGGCTATTTTAAGTTTAAAAGAGTTTATCTTCGCCCTACTAGTAGCCAGATTGAGAAACCAACACAGGGATGCATTAGCAGCTGGCTTGAGGCAGGATTCGATTGGATTCGATTCCCTCAAATTGATTTTTAAGGTATGCGAATTTAAAGTGCGCTTCCAGGGCATCCATTGTCATGTAACCATTGCAGCAAATGATCGTGCCCCTTGTCTACAGCAGAGTGCCAAGTTGATTCATCCCAGGGGCAGTCATGCTCACGGGCATACTTCAAGATTTCCAAGTGCCCGTTTCTACTAGCTTCCCTGCATGTGTCTTCATCCCATGGGCAGCTATTCTCATGGGCATATTTCAGGGTTTCCAATTGGCCATGGTAGGCAGCGAAAGCACATGTCCCTTCATCCGATGGACAGCCATTCTCGAGGGCATATTTCAGGATTTCTAAGTGCCCACTTCCAGCAGCATTGAGACATGTGTTCTCATTCTTGGTTGGTAATTACTGCCGGAATTCCGGATTACTGGCTACTTACGGTACGATTCCGGAATTCTATAGAACAACCGTAAAGGTAACCGTAAAACGTCACCGGAATTAAGGGCATGCACGATTCCGGCAGGAATTCCTAGGGTTCCGGTGGATTACTCCGGAACTCCGTTACCGTACTGGTACTGCGTACTAATAGTACGTGTTCCACTCATTACATTGCAGCATCAACTCTCGCGGTCTGCTTATTTGCTGGCTTTTTTCTAGCAGCAGGGTAGCACGTCTTGGAGCTAACGGTACCAGTATCTTGAAACTAATAGATCTGCCCTACCGTACACGTACTGTACTGATAGCATCATCTGCGGTGAGATGACTTTCGCGTAACAGCATCAACTCTTGTAGCCTGCTTATTTGCTTGGTGTTTACTAGCAGCAGGGTAGCATCTCTTGGAGCTACCATACCGGTGTAGTCGTGCAGGTACCGGTATGGTACCGGTGCCGATAGAGGTGCAAGATAGATAGAGGTGCAGGTACCGGTATGCCATACCGATAGAGGTGCAAGATTTGCGGTGAGATGACACTAGACTAGCATGACAGCATCAACTCTCGCAGCCTGCTTATGTGCTTGCATTTTACCAGCAGCGGGGTAGTAGCTCTTGGAGCTTCATACCATATCATTCACACTATCTGCAGTACCGGTACCGGTAGAGGCCATGATCTGCACTGAGATAACACTAGACAGCATCAACTCTCGCAGCCTGCTTATGTGCTTGCATTTTACCAGCACCAGGGTAGCACCTCTTGGAGCTAGCATCATTCAAACTACTAGATCTGCTGCACCGTCTCCAGTAGAGGTGCAAGAGTTCGGTGAGATGACACTCGCATGACAGCAGTAGCAGCAGCAACTCTCGCAGCCTGCTTATTTGCTTGCTCTTTGCTAGCAGCAGGGTATCACCTCTTGTCACCAAAAGAGGATCAAGTTCCAACAGAACGAGGAAGATATACCCAGAGGTGCTTCTGTGGGAAGCACATACCGGTACTGTAGCCTCACTATCAGGCTTTCATGTCATCGAATCAGTCGGTGGCTGCTCATAGAGGAAAGGTGTATGCAACAGAAGCAAACAAGGAATACACGCACAATACGCCAAAAGGGCTCTAGGAAGCTTCACTGCCTCCTTTGGTGCAGCTGCAGCTGAATTGCCACCAATGTTGCCCCTTGATGGTGGCCTCCATTGCCCTTGTTCAGGCTAGCACCTGAAATTACTGCAGTAATTCCTGTCTAGACAGGAATTACTTTACTTTTACTGCCATTGGCACTAGCTAGGATTACTGACCTATATTACTTTTACTGAGTAATTACTGCATTACTGCAATTACTGCTACTTTTTGGCCCCTCCACACAGTAAGTAATAACAGTAAATACCAACCAAGTTCTCATTCCATGGACAGCCATTTTCATGGGCATATTTCAGGGTTTCCAATTGGCCATGTAAGGCAGCAAGAGTACATGTGCTTGTGTCCCAAGGGCAGCCATTTTCATGGGCATAATTGAGGATTTCCAAGTGGCCAGTTAGAGCAGCACTGATACATGTGCTGTCATTCCAAGGACAGCCATTCTCATGAGCATACCTTAGGACTTCCAAATGGCCTCCTTCAGCAGCAGCAGAACATGTGCCCCAATGCCATGGACAGCCATTCTCATGAGTATACCTCAGCAAAACCAAATGGCCTCCTGCTGCTGCTGCAGAACATGTGCCCACACTCCACGGACAGCCATTCTCATGTGCGTACCTTAGGACATCCAAATGGCCAAAATAGGCAGCATGTGCACAGGTTCATTCATTCCAACGCAACCCTTTCTCTCGGCCCCATAGTAGCACTTGTTGACAACCCACCTTGGCAGCAGTAGAACAAAATTACTGTGCCATCAATCTGTCCACCTGTGCCAGCATGTTGGTAGGTGTACCAATACTCTGTGCGGGACACAGAAGAGACAATTGCGCTATAGAAAGTATCTGTGGGCGTTGCTACTAACCTATAAGGATACTCATTGATCTTTGGAGGATTCTCCACTTTTTCACAGTATTCCTTGTAGAGATGTTTCTTTTTGTGGCTGACAGGTGCCACAAAGACAAAGGGCATGTTTAAGGGCATGTTTTCAAACGAAACTCAGCCGTGGGAATTTCAAGTTGTTTAAATCCTGAGTGAAAACCGTCGGACGGTCCAGGATGACAAATGCCAAGGACTATGGCATCATTCTACTAGAGCTTGCTATACCCTTTCTTCCCATTGTTGACAAGGATGTATTCCCCAAGCTTTCTCCGGTCAGCAAAAAGATTCACCACTATTGCATCGCTGGGCTGAAGAAGCATTGCGAAAAACACCATCCTGCATTGCTAAAACTTGAAAAGCTTTGGAAAGAGGAAGATGAAGCAGATAGCAGTGACACCAAGTGGTTGAATTTTGGCCGCTATCAAAGTTTTGTGCAGACATCTGAGGAATCACCGGCAAGACAAGAAACGTGGTATCACATTGTTGATCCAATCCGTGTACAGGCGCTGAATGCAAGTTGGCTGAAGGACTATGAAGTTGTGCTTGAGGTGAAAGGTCTGCAACAGAAGGAAGATTCAATTGTAGTTTGCCCAACTCCTATAGCTTGTGGAGTCGAAATCAGGGAAATGAGTCTTCTAGTTGGTTGGAAGGAACTGCTTGTCCGTGTCGCTTTTCGCAGGAAATGCACTGGTGAAATGTCCATTGTTATGAATCAGACAGTGGCTTGTATCTTCCACGAAGCAGGCTCCCATCACATCAGCATTCGTTTGCGTGGTACTCTCCATCCTTTCAAGTTGTCCCAAGCCGGGCCGAGTTTGTCTATTTATGGACACCCTGAGGGGATAGGACAGTTCGCAGGTCGCGGAAAATTGGTGGTGGCTTTCTTCGGTAACGCCGTACTTGGCAACCTGCACCAACTCGTTGAAGATTTGATTTGGTTCGGATCACTAAAAATTGCGCAAAAAAGTCGACTACTGTGAATGTTTGTGCACATCAGTACTGGGGACCAAGACATAAGAACGTTCTAAATCAGGATGCGCCTTGTTTTGGAATACTAATGTAGGAGAGTAGCACCAAAGTCAAATTTTCAAAGAAATTTGGCCATTCTTTGAACGGACTGTCATGTCATTAGCACCTTGAAACTGAAACCTCCAAACAAGAGATCCGGCTAGATTCTGATCCATTAAGTTAATAAAAAGGAAGTCTCACACTCTCACCCCGCCTGATGTTCGATGCAATCATCAGTATCAATTTCAATTTCAATGGGATCGGCTGCCACCTGGTCAATGATATCTTGTTCGTCGGAAGTTGCTGGCTCCATGCTACTATTAGTACAAGCCACATACCATCGGTAGGCAATCAATGCGATGCCATAAAATGCCAAGGATACCCAAAGACCCACAATGGAGTTGAAGAATTTGTCCTGATACTTGCCACTCAGCGCCATTCCAATGAAACAATTCACCATTCCAAACAAGGTTGACAAATAACCGATTGTCTTGTGCAGCAGCTCCCAATGTCGTCGTTTCTTGAGAGAGGAATCATCCGGCAGATTGTCCACAATGTCGTCATTGCTTTGCTTGTGCGGCCTCAGGAAAGCGTTTATGGGTTGGAGCAATCCCAGACCCATGACGATGGTTCCTAGAGTGGCATGGGCAAACTGTGCATCGTAGACACCCGATCCCAGGATGTTAAAAGGTCCTGCCAATGCAGTGATCCATCCTGCCAATCCCGTGAGAATACCCAGTGGTTGCACCACACGATGAACATGGAACCAAAGAGTGGAATGGTGGGGGAACTGTTTGAGCAGCCGTGCCGAAATGACTCCCAGTGGGATTAAAAATCCCCAACTTATGAGCATCAGAGAGCCATGAGCCGCCACAAAGGGTAGGAAAGATCCACTTTCGCAACTCAGCGATTCCGCGGGAGGTAAATACGGAGCAAGTCCTTGGCATCCATTCCTAATGGACTCGACTCGTGTCACTTGTAGCACTGGCGGCGACGTGGATTGTGGCATTATTTTTCCGTAGACAGTGGCTCGAAATCCTCTGGAAGGTGCCCCGGGAGGACCCGTGCAAGTGGAGCAATATCCCTGTTCGCCGGTGGACCTGGCAAACTGCAACATCAACTCATTGCCATAGTCGTCCAACTGAAAGGCGCGGCAGTATCGGTCGGCATTGTCCCCAATACCGGTAGGCTCTTCGAGCATTTGGAAACCACTGTGCACGCATCGTGCGACATCGACCAAACAATGAATCGAATGACGCTGGGGTTCCAAAAGAGACTCGATTTGGTAATTGTCCAGAAGGGTACCCCGATCGATGCAGTACTGGTCCAACACGTAGCCAATAAAACAAATCTCATCTTCTGCCGCTGCTTGCTGTTGCAACTTGGTGTCCTCTACGTCAATCGCAGACTTGGAAAGGGAAAGGGAGGCGCTCATGGTGAAGGTAGAAAATGATAATAACAACGGTCAAGAAGCCTCCAAAAGATCGCAAAAAGGCGAAACTTGCTTTTGGTGGCACCCGCACGCGTCCGTTGGCATTGGTTGAAGAGGTGTGCGTCGTGAGTATAAGAAGCCAGCCAGTGCTGTTGAAACATTTTCTCGACCAATTTTGTTTTTGTTTCGTTTCTGCTGCACAAGACCTACCGGTACCGGTGTTGGTACTCTGGTTTGCCGTCGATCTCTGGATCTCCGACCATTTCCGCCAGATTTTCCAACTCGGGTAACAAGGCCGTTGAAGTGAATGGGTTGACTCCCATTGCCAGTAGACGGGTGCAAGTGATTGGAGCAAGGGTTGGAACTCCAACCCTAGCACTACATGTATCGTTCCCACACTGCCCAAAGATAGATTTGTTCCTTAGTCCTACCTAACGTAGACACTCCTAGCTACATGTAGTGATTTGCCAATGCCATTTCGATGCGGATGGTTGAGGCCATGAGGCTACCGGGAGTCAACGGGAGACTCGAGTCAAAATCAAGGGTTCTCCCCGACGGTCCTCTGCTTGCTCCTAATATACCCGGCAGACCCCGGTTATCTCTGACCCCGTTTATTGTGGTGGTGGTCGTTTGGTTGGTTTTGGTTGGTTGTTTATCCTTAGGGTTAGAGTTTTTCTAAAAACGTTAGTCCCCCCCAAATTTCTTGCACATTCTCTTTTAATAAATCATAGCAACGGATCCTGAATATTTTCCTCACATTTGCACACATCTAAACTCCCGTAAGCTACCACACCTCTTTCTCAGAAGGAAAAATCTAACTTCTCACGTTGCAAACCTCAAAACTCCGTAAGCTACCACACCACTTTCTCAGACGGAAAAATCTAGTGTCTCATGTTGCACACCTCAAAACTCCCGTAAGCTACTACACCACTTTCTCAGACGGAAAAATATAATGACACCACCTTCAGCCAAACTTCAACAATATTACTATGCCAGCCCATCTATTAATTCAGCTCGCCCAGTATATCTATTAGACCTCCGGTGTCCTTTTCTTCCTTTCCAGCCCGGGCAGTCCACCAAAGTCCACAGGAATGACGCCCTACAGTACTCAACTCCCTGATACCTGGGACCTGATGACCTGATGCAGTGTGCCATTACTTGCGACTTGCGAGGACAGGACCAGTGGTATAGGTAGGATTTTACGTAGGAAATCTATGCCCCCCCATAGCGCAGCAAGGCAAAATCCTCATGGGAGGGGTACCCCCTCTCTCTCTATGGTGTGCAAGCAGCATCAAGCCTGAAGCCAAAGGTAGGGTACCCCCCCAAAATCCTGCAGAGACTAGAAAATCCAGTGGTTCCTTACTTTGGAATTAATTCTTTGCTCAGGGTTATCTTTCAGCTGTTAGCAACGATAGTTGGTACAGGAATGTGGGTGCTTGCAGACAAGTTTGATGCTCCAGGCAGGAAATTTCACTGAAGAGGATGCAACCTACAAGCAACTGAAATGGATCATGGCCTAGAAGTCAAGCGCTTTGGAAGGTATGGATGGGTTATGTTTTACAGTGGATGTTTGAATGTTATACAGTGGATGTTTGATCTAGCTATAAATATACTAGGCTAATTCTAGTCTCCCCTTCCTGGTACATAGTCTACGTGAGTCTACGTAGAGCAAGCAGCAAAGTCAAAAGGGCCAAAGGGGGGGTAACCAACCCCTGTGTCCTGCAGACTAGATACCACCGGTCCTCGAGGACCCACACAATGCATACAGGAGCTGGAAGCTGCGTCACCTCGAACACTGCGGAGGGCAGAATGTGTTTAGTGTCCTTGTGCCTCAATAATCCTTTGGACCCCCAAAAATCCCGGAAGGGGCAGCAATGTCGAAATCCACCCTCTACCGAAACCGGTACGGTATCGTACCTGTACTGGTAGCTGTATCAAAACTTGGCCCTTGGCAGCTGAAATGGCTAAAGGAGCTCTACTAAAGGTCTCATGTCGTGCAGTCCAAAGTGGTGCATGAAGCATGAAGCCATGATGAAGAGCGACCTTCTACTGTTTTTACAAGCTCGCAATTGAGCCGGAAGCTTCGTCTCGACCACTGACATAAGGCCTCGTCCTGCCTTCTGACTCTGAAACTCTTTGACCCAAAACGCCAAACTTTGCGAAGAAAGCCCTTTAGCCCTTTGCCTTCCCTGTGGTTCCAATGGCTCAAAATCCCCATGCATTCTATCTCGCTTCCAACCTTCTTGGATGAGCTATGGTCTACCTCTGAATGATTCAATCGAATCGCCGTTGATCCGACAGCATCGTTTTTGGCTCTTCATAAGGCAAAAGCTTCGGCTTTTCACTCCGGTTTTGCAAAATTGATCACAAGTTTGGCAACTACTAGCTTTGGATGGCTGCGAACAGGCCAGATACTGAGTAGTATCTGTCTAGTTAGTACTAGTACCGTAGTATGTAGCTGCGTATCAGGAGCTGTATGGCATACCTGTACGGTACTACGGTACGTCGCTGCAGCGCAGACCTTCCGCTTGAAGTTGTCGTGGAGTCAACAGTTAAAACTTTCTCGTCTGCAGCCAGATTAGACATTCAGTCGTTTTAGGCTTTCCTGTCTGTCACTAACATTCGCAATTCGCAATTCTCGCCTTGTAGAAATAAATGTAGAACTTTGAGTACTGAAAGTATTCCGCAGAAGTGCGAGCTGTGAGCTGTGAGAGCTGCTGTCAGCTGCCTTCGCTGAGAAAGCAGAATGCCCTTGTGTTCTCTATCCTCCATCCTCAACAATCCGGGCATCAGTTTATTAGCTGTGTATTTGAGGGTATTAGGTATTAATACTGAAGCTGTACTGAGTACTTTACGGTAGCGCTCTGGGGGGTGCCTCAAATCAACCTCGTGTGTTTGATTATATCCCCAACCACCCGTATATGGCAAGCATACGATGGCCAAAAGGTGGTTAAAAGTGTTCTAAAGAAGGCGGTACAGAGTGATACGACTAATAATGGTGGTAGAAAACGGTTAACAGGTGGTGAAAAGGAGGTAAACAGTCGGTAATCAGGCGGTAAAACAGGCGCTTGAAGGCGGTGGTATAAGGTCCAAATTGGTAAAAATAGCTAAGAGTGGTTGGAGACATTAACCCTCATCGCCAATCTGTCAGAAAGGTGGGGTAAGAAATGAAGGGGCAAAGGCGGTTGGTTTGAGGCACCCCCCTGTGCTCTGTGCGACGTGCGACCCAATTGCAAGATTGCAAGAGGAGTACTGTATACAGTTTCTTCGCTTCTCCGATTTTCCCACTACTCAGTGTTCTCTGTCACAGCTGCCGCACCAAGCCTTAGTATCATGTCGAACGTCGGACGTTTCTGAGTGGCTTTCAAAAAAATTGTCCGCGTATGCTGACATGCTGAGTGACTCCGGGGTCCAGGGGAATAGCATCTTTAGGGCGAGCTTGATCCCGGCTGCGGCATTTTGTTGACTTTTCCCAGGACTTCCCCTCCCAGTTCGTAGTTGCCAAGCATAATCAAAGAAGTATCAAAGAGCTCTCTGTGGGCCGCCGGAATTGTGGAACATCTTTCCAAAAGCCTGGTTCCCCAATCTTGATGGTTGATGGAGCTTTGATCGGCACCTCTTTCAGCTCGTTGGTTGCAGCCTCACAAAATTGAACCTCAGCATTTCAAAAGCTACCTCGATATCGCTTCAGCATGTCGTGCTCGTCCCTGCGCTCTTTCCTTTCAGACCTACTCGTGGACGTTGACACGGAGGAAATCACTCTTCATGACGACAACGCTGCTGGAATCTGCTCTCCAATCCCAACTCCTAATGAGCCCCGTTTTGCGCCATGTCGGTGGAAGAGTGAGACGAACAACACAAGGCGACCATTGTACTCGACTCCTGATGACAAGCCCTTGTGCCGATGGGACAGCAGCCCGAACAAGGAAAGGCAACCATTGAACTCAAGACCACCCCGAAGGCCATACCGCCGGAGCAGCACTGATATGAGCAAAGCTTCGGTCCTCAAGACAAGCAGTGAGGATCCCAAATCAGTGTGTCATGAGATCAGATTTCCCGGTTGCGGGATGCCCACGGTTCCGCGGGACCTAGACCATTGAGCTTCCTACCAACCATACAAAAAACGAGAGCGGGGAGCCTCTGAAGAACTCATCGTCCTCGACTTGTACATATCATAATAGACTTTTATAGAGTGCAACATTAATGTTCAAAGTAATTGCTTGATTCGACCCTCTCAACTTCAAACATTCAAGTTGCGGTAAGCGGCTCTTTCGTCTCTCGCCATCAGCTGGTGGTGAGCTACCGGTATTCGGAAATATGTAGAGCTCTGATCGAAGCTTCCAAACATTGCATTTCGCCGTGTTTGGCTGCTGCTCAACTTTGCTTTGAAACATAGATTCCTCGCTAACACGGCTAACACCACCCTGTTGTGCTTCGCCTCAGGTTCATGGCGTGCAGGTTGAAACCGTCTGATGCGGTCAAAGATCGATTTACCAGCTCGCTGGGTTTGCAGCTCTGCAGCCTCCTCGACTTCCACGGTGTTCCCAGAGAAAAATGAGTCGAGACAGTGAGAAGACCATGCATGCATGCATACGGCAACGACCATCGCCGACCAAATAACTCGAGCAGAAAGAACAGTTGTGAAGCCGCCCTCGGGAAGGCAACAGACCTCATCGAATTGCGTTTGCTTGGGATTTTCCAAGCTCACAATCTGACCAGAATCAGCAACCACACTGAAATCGAAACAGAAGTAACACTACCGAAGAAAAAGAAAGATCGAAGATCCAACGCCAATTTCCGGTCATGTTGCGCCACCATTTCGATGCTCACCAGAGTTGATATTGCCTGTCCTCCTGGCATATGGTGTCAACCGCTTCATGTTGGATCGCGTGGGCGAAGAAAAGGCCCGGGCTACCACCATTGTCGAGTATTCACCCAATAGCAAGTTTCCGAAGCACACTCACATTGGAGGGGAAGAATTTCTCGTCCTCAAGGGAACCTTCAAAGACCAACATGGAGCTTTTCCCGCTGGGACGTATGTGCGCAATCCCATTGGTTCGGAACATGCACCCTGGGTCGACGGCGATGGATGTACCATTATGGTCAAGTTATTGCAGGTGCGTGACAATACTGACGGAGGTATTCACGTTGTGTCCCTTGCGGGTCAATGTTTTGGGGCAAATCTCACTCCATTTTTTGTTGTTGTTGTTGTTGCCAATGGAACTAAGATGTCCGATGAGACCACCTGAGAGCAACCCCTGTATATTGACTTGGAGAAACAAAGGACAGCCTCGGGTAAGCCAGTGGATTATGGAACAGTACTGGATCTGTACGACAATACTAGTACCGGCGAACATGTTGAAATGTGCTGGGTATCCGCGGGCAAGACGCTTCCACCACCATCAACAACGGGTGGAGAAGAGTTGTTTATCATGGAAGGATCCTTGCAGTGCAAGGACGAGGAATATGTCCAATGGGGATGGCTGCGATTTCCTCCCAACGACAGCAGCCAGCGTCACGAGGTGAAGGCAGGGCTCAGTGGCGCTCAAGTATACCGCAAGTGTGGTCATTTGACAGAAGATGCTCTCAAGAAGGAAAAGATTCAAATAAAAGAAGAGTAGAGAGATAATTTCCTGGATATCATAGATAGACAAAGGAATTTGGCAGCTAGCAATATCCAAAGCATAGATGTATTCGTGTGATCTGATTCTTAAGTTA